AATTATCAACAACAAAGTTGTATAACTTATCAAGATTTACAACTTTTATTTTGGTTATTTTTTATATAACTTTTTTTTGAACAGTTTGAATTTCAATTTGAAAATATGACAAGTTCAAACAATATTTTCAAATACTAAATGATTTTAACTAAAAAAGTCATGAACAGCAAAGTTGTATAACTCATCAAGATCTATAACTTTTATTTTTATCATTTCTTCATCCGATAAAGTGTTAGTAACATTGTTAACAAAATTCACATATCTGAATAATGTTACTATCACTTTATCGGATAAAGAAATGACCAAAATAAAAGTTATAGAACTTGATGAGTATACAACTTTGTTGTTGATAACTTTTTCAGTTGAAATCATTTAGTATTTGAAAATATTGTTTGAAGTTGTCATATTTTCAAATTCAAATTCAAACTGTTCAAAAAAATGTTATATAGAAAAATGACCAAAATAAAAGTTATAGATGTTGATGAGTTATACAACTTTGTTCTTGATGATACTTTCAGTTGAAATCATTTAGTATTTGAAAATGTTGTTTGAATTTGTCATATTTTCAAATTCAAATTCAAATTGTTCAAAAAATGTTATATAGAAAAAATATCCAAAATAAAAGTTATAGATCTTGATAAGTTATACAACTTTGTTGTTGATGACTTTTTTAGTTGAAATCATCTATTATTTGAAAATATTGTTTGAAGTTGTCATATTTTCAAAATTCAAATTCAAACTATTCAAAAAATATTATATAGAAAAATGACAAAAATAAAAGTTATAGATCTTGATGAGTTATACAACTTTGTTGTTGACAATTTTTCCATTTGAAATCATTTACTACCCGAAAAATTATTTGAATTTCTTATATTTTAAAATTCAAATTTTATATAGTTCGATCAAACATGGATGGAAAAATGACCAAAATAAAATTGGTAGATCTCAATGAGTTCTAGAAGATTGTTTTTGACAGTTTTTTCATATGAGTTCATTTAGTATCATAAAATTTAATTCGAAATCTATTTTTGCCTAGAAATCTGATTTGCTTCCTCTTCTTGTTAATACTTGCTAAATATATATTTGATCCATTTAACTCGGTTTTGCGGTGAAATATGTAAAATATGTGATCAAAATGGATGTTATGTGAATGTGGTTGTGTTAAATATATTAATGGTTGTGTATGTGAATGAATGTATATGAATGGGGGATGTTGGGGTGTGATATCCTAGCCCAGGGCTTAATAGGATTAATAGAATACTAATACCAACAACTTACAATTTCTTTTCCGGAAGCCGATCTCCATAGAATTTTAAGGTTTAGCGTACTTGGCTTGGAGCAATTTCGGGATGGGTGACCGACCGGGGAGTGGACACGAGTAAGGACAAAGTGTGCAAAGGTCTGAGTCTAGCCAAAAAGCAAAAAAAAAAATTATTATACTCTCTGTGATGGGCTATAATTTGGCATGCCCTAAAATTTAGGTCCGATTGAGCTGAGAGTCATCCGTGACGGGTTTTTGTGTTGGCCCGGTTGAGATGTGTGTCATCCGAGACGGGCGGATGTCCGATTAAGATATTTTCTCATATCAGTGACCTTTGCTTAGTGACGGGGCTCTACCCGAAAGAGATAAGGCTTTAAGCCCATCAGAGATAACCGATCCCGTTTTAGTGTTAGACGAGTGTATTTCACACAAGATGCACTTTGTCCTTCTCTGTGTTGATGTTATAAATGTGTTTCACCCTTTTGTCCAATTTCATTTCTCTCCTCTCCTATCAGAAGAAAACCACACAGTTGAGTCACGTATTCCCTTCGTCTAAAATAAAAATAAATCTGGATAATCACTTCTACAGATTCATATGTAAGATTAAATTCTTTTTCTTTTGTACAGAGATAGCAGGCCGTTATGCGTCTTATCAACGGCAATGGAAGGCCGTTATGCGTCTTATCAACGGCAATGGACCAGTAGAATGCTTGTTTTTCCTTCCATCGAGCAACACTCTTAACTGCAGCGATGCCACCATGTTTGGCTAAGTGTTAGTGTACACCCACCGTATTTGACCATTTATACACACAGCACACACCCACAGGACTAAGTTTTAGCCACTTTCACTAAACAGTAGTATCTCTGGTTTCGTATTTTCACAACCTGTCAGCTATAACTGAGATGATAGCGGCACGTAAAACGGGTGACCCATTAACACATACTCTCTTCATATTTATAAAGAAAGTCATTTAGGATAATATTTAAGTCAAACCTTGAAAATATAAATTATAAATAATTCTTAAGTTATTGAGTTTGAAAAGGTAAAAATTATATGAATATTGAAAAATACTTTCATAATAGTATACATATATCATTTTTAAATAAATATTTTTATAGAAACAAGAAGTCAAAGTTGTATTTTGGAGACCGTGTCGCTGTCCTAAACGACTTCTTTTACGAGTACGGAGGGAGTAATTAATTAAGTATTAGCTATAAAAATTTTAAAAATAAATTTATTTAACTTTTTAAAGAAACTTATATATTGGAATTTTTTTTAAAAAAAATAGACAATTTAATAACTTGAGAAACGTGTAAACAGAAAATGACTCTTCGGATAGTCCTGCTCGAACTATCTCCGGCAAAGGTTTAGTGTAAAACGCATGAATTTATCAGAGAATATCATACGAGATCTTTATAGGAATTTATCAGAGAATTCCCATGTTCCAAACCATGCCCAATGTTCAGTCTGTGTGCGAGATTGAGATGACCATGCAACGTGCTGCCTGCAGTCCTCTCCTGCAATTGCATTCAAGTGTTCTCCTCCGCTAAAATGCAAGAACTAGTTGTTTCTCTCGGTACTAGCTACCACATGGTTTCAGAAGCCATTCTCGCTCAGCTGTTCTATGTACAAGAATTGAATGGAGACATGTAGGCAATTAATGGGATTATGTATCATTAGCACGGCCTAGATGACCTCAATCTTTGCATGGTCCACGCCTACGATAGCAACAGTAATAGTATCTGGCATCGCCCTTCTTTTCAGCCAACTTAGCCCAGGAATGTACATCATGAGTTATCTTTACCATTAAGTTCAGCGCGTATTCATTTCTTGCTTGCAACTGCAGCCCCGTATCCGTGTGGGGCATAACTGCAAGCGCTGTTCTCAAATGCCCATGGCCCAGATAAATGCTTGGCAAGCTCAGAATTCACATGCATCCAACTATTCAAAGTTCCTGTATGGGTTCAATGGACGCAAATGCTCATGAAGAGAAGGTTACTTGGTGGTAGTACGGACTGTGTTACATCAAATTTAGTTACGAGAAATTCTACTATATTTTACCAACACAATCTCTTTCGTGCCATTCCGGAAAGCATATCTTGCCCACTAAAATGCATCTTCAAATACTAGAATCACAACGATAGATGTCTTAAGGACAATGTGTACACTATGGTGGAGCTTGTGCAGGGATCGTGCTGTTCGGGAGTGACCAATACTCAAAAATAAGCTAGAGTCACCCCACCTAAGGCAGCCGCGATCTAGATTGGTCGCTAATTAAATTGCATAGTTCAGCAGCTGCTGGAGATTGGAGTAGGGGTTCTGCCACCTGAGTCATCCACCCCTTGAGCAAGGCCACAATATGAGAGTTGAGGGATGGTATTTGGGCACGTGTAAAAAAAATATCCACGCCAAACATTGGATAGCAAACAATAAGTTAACATGGATGACATGAGGAAGAAAATGACCTATACAATGACACATTCTAGAAATTGGAATTGAGTAGAATTCTCTTGAATATTTTAACTTGACTCCTAATCAGAGTTTACAAAACCATTTGAAGGTTGGATTGTGAAACACAGTGGACTAACGAAATTCACATATTGATATTTGGATCTTGATGATCCGTTTCGAGTGAATCGATAACGAATTTTGATCGTTTGTAACGAAAATGATCGATTTGAAGCAAAAATTGTACATATTTTTTGGGGAACGGAAAAAAGCCATACATAATATTTTTGTTAAACTGTTTGGTTGACAACCAAAAGGTTCTATGGAAAAATGAAAATTAAAAAAATAAAAGTAAACAAATTTGAAAAAATGACGGAGAAGAGAGAAACATTTGGCATGGCATTATAATTTTGGCATACCAGATTATAGACAATAAAGTTGACATTGATGTGATTATGCACGTATACAATTAGAAACATTAGAAGAGCAATTAGAAAGTTTAATATCCATGCCATGATCAACACTATTATAATGTCAATCACACAACGTTATATGAAAACAAAATATTATAATGTCCATGACATAAATAGCATAATAGTAACGGGTGTTCACAGTTAAAAGCATAGCTATGATTGAAAAGTTAATTTAAGTCCGTGAGCTCATCAATACTTAAAACATTTAAAGTCCATGACATCATCAGCACTGTTATAATGTCAATGAAATAACATAATATTATAATATCCATGACATCAACTATATAATAGTGGAATGTACATAGTTAAAAGCATTATAACTAGAAACAATATTACAATAATCCAATACATAATTAGAAACATTATAACAGTAATCCAAAATTTTAAAGTGCCAGCACCAACATTATTACTATGTCATCAAACAACATAATATGACTGAAGAATATTATAGTATCCATGAGACCATGACATCAATAACATAATAGTTTGAATTTCAACAAAATATAACAAAGTGTTGTTCCTTAATTATTGTTGAAGTATCAAAATTCACATTTTTAACAGATTTTGATGTCATGTAGCATTACCATGATTGTTTTTTTTTCAAATCTTCTCCATATTTTTCAGCTTGAATTTGAATTTTTGCGAATTCTACCGAGTTCCCTTCTTTTTCAGGATTCAAACCAGCTCACATCGATCAAAAACTGCAAAAAGAAATGTGGTGTTCGTTGAATTTGCGAGCCCTGCGGCCAACTCTGATCCAAATAGCTAGCAGCCAGCCAGGGGGTCATACCTAAATGCTGTCACTAAAAAGACCAGATATCGAAATAGTGCCATCTTGGCTGCAGCCATCTTTGCAGTACAAGCACAACATGAACAGTATCAAACACGACATTTCCTTTAGACAGCACAAGATAACTGTACTATTTAGTCTGGCAGCCCAAAAGAAAAAGGTATGGCTAAACCATTACGAACCCTCTTTATCTAGACAAGCTGATATATACACTAACTTACATGGCGAGCACATAATAACGTATAGAAATAAATTTCAGCAGCACGGAAAACATAAAAAGACGCGTCTGTGATACATACACAATCCTGAAATTGGAGAGACTGCTTTGTTTCAGTAAATTTTCGGCTTCCGGACCCTCTGACTTCTCCGGCTATTCACCGCCACCAAGACTGCCTTTTCAATCCTCGGTTTGGAGGGGGTGCTTTCGCTTATATCCTTCCTTGCAGCACAGGATGAATTCTCAGCTTCCTGATTCTTGGTAGATGAGCATGACTTTCCAGCTTTTCGCTTCTTTCCAGTTGAGTGAGTCTTCACAGCTTTCTTCCCTTCATCTGGGGCTGTGGTCTCCTCAATTTTCAGCTTTTTTGCAGCTGGGGATGTGCTCTCAGTTTTCTTCTTTGTAGCAGGTGTTTTAGAGGCCTCTTTACTCTGGGTCAATCCAGATACAGGACCACTACCCTCCTTCATTTTAAGTTTTCGCCTCCTCTTTCCAGAGTAGACATGCTTCAAAGCTGGTGGTTTTTCAAAAACCGGTTCTTGCTTCACCACTTGACCAGGCGTACTCCTGGCTTCCAGGGAAACAGAAGCGTTCTCAACTCTGAATGGAGCTGAAGTGCTTGTGACTTCAACAGGGGAAGAGTTACTTCCAACTCTCAAATTAGCAGTTTCACAGACCTTCTCTGTTAGTTCTAATGATTTATCCATCGGCTGCTTGGCGTTCTCAAATGGCTGGTATCCTTCATTGGCTGCTTGATTGTCTATGAGGACGTCATCATTGTCCTGTGAAGAGTAAGCTAACATTGAAAAACTTGACAGCCCAACCAAATAATTCTTGATCACAAACAGTTGTAGGATGAAGAAATAAAGAATATGAGATAATCAAAACTATCTGGGCACTGGAATTCCATTGTTCCAAAGAAATACAACATACTAGAACTGCATAGCGTAACCAAAGAGTGAATTCCTTTAGCACATCGAACTGATTTCCTTCAATTCTGCAAGAATCCTACTCCCTCCATTCCAAAATATAGCAACCTAGTACACGATTAGACACCACCTAATACTACGAATCTGGACAGATTGCTAGATTTTGGGACGGAGGGAGTAACAAATACTGCACTAGTCCAAGGCAACTCATGTCATGCATTACCATGCTGCACATCTGACATGGGTCCCAATCCCATGTTTTTAGACTTACAATCAGCGACTCCACTAGGTTGGGTGAGGGGAACAACAAAGTCAATAACCCTACTTTACCACTAACGTAAGAACCATATGCAGAACGTAGAACCAATAATCAACTATAATTGTATCCGTGAGTGGCCCACATGCACACCTAACTCCAATTCTTGTTCCACTGGAGAATAACACTTTTTGACACGCATTATTTATTGGAATTCGATCCAAGAAATCCACACTATTTTAATAAATGCAAAAAAAGAAGTGCTATTCTCTCTACTGTTAATGGGAAAATTGAGGATTGTCATCCCCAATATTGTCAATTGAACATTCGTTCAGTCTAGTCAAAACATTTGTATGGAAGTTAAGTAATCAAATAAAAACATCATAAGGAAAGGATCAAGGACTTACTTTGCACAAATCTCCCATATGACCATTTGGAAGGAGTAAATCCACAGTGATGGCTTTCTTATGTGACTGGCACCTCTCTCCACTTTTTTCTTCGCTACTGTACATTGTAACTTCTGTTTGGCAATCTGGTGCCCTCTTAGACAAAGTAGATATTACTGCATGAGCTGGTTTATCCTCTTCCTTCGATAAAATGTTTAGATTCTTCTTTTTCTTTGATTTACTATATCTATCTTTCTTATATGAGAATGACCGTTTTTGAGTCCTTAGCCTCTTCTCAGACACCTTGATATGGGCATGGTCCACCAAGGAAACCATGTTTTCTTGTTTTGAACGAACCTTACTGAGACGATCTTGTAGCCGAAGAACTTGGGACCGAATACCATCAATTGTCAAAAGAAATTTCTGCAGTGTGAGTTGCTCCGCAACCATATCATATTCCTTGGGCTCAAGCAACCCAACAGTATGGATCCCACCTTTAACATCATTGCCAACTGTAGGAATCGATCGTATAAAGAGTTAGCGTTGGCAATGAGAAATCATGTAAAATTCAGACATTAGGTAATGAAGATAGATTTCATTTTGCAATGCCAACATAACCAATGTCTGAATAGCTCAAGTATGCTGCCCTTCATTAGTTCAATCCAAAATTATAATGGATAACACTAAAAATAAAAGTACGAAGATACCAAAATGTTTACATCGCGGTAAGGAAAGATGTGGGTAACACACTGACAATGAGATGTATACTACTTTTAATCATTAACAAGACACATACATTTTACCAAGGATACCAGCAAGGTGTCATTTATAGCCAAGCTTTTCTCCGTGACTGTGAACTTACCATTGGGGCTTGTGGGCGTTCCAGCCCCACCTAAATTGGAACTCCCCAGGTACCCAGTCCATAGACACTAGCAAGCTAATTCAAATAACTGGCAAGGGGCAGCAAGTACGCTTGGTCTTAGACATGGCTGGCAGCTGGGACTGGGAAGAATAAGATGCCACACTGGGCTGCCTTGGTCTTAGATTAACTGGTCAGGCTTAGAAGTTGGGTGGGTCATCAAACTTCTACCTTATGTTTACCACCTAATTTGGGCTAGAGTTGCATTGTTCTGTTGATTACCTGGGTAATGGATAGTCAGGAAATGGGAGTGATCTCAATTGGGACCTGGGAAAGACTTAAAGCATAGCATGCGGACAGGCAATGAATGATTGGGCGATAGGGCGTGGGTTGCCCGCACGGTTTCTAGGCAAGGACGTCAACACGCATTGGTGGACACCAGGCTGGGTCCTGGTCAACTGTGCTGGCAATCGTGGCGAGGACACACATGCCATTCTGATTACTATAGGCTGCGCAGATGAATCATTCAACACCTAGTTATTAGTGCATTGTACCTGATCATCAGTACAGTGTTGCTATGGTCTATTTCAATGTTGTGTTTTTAAGTATTTAGAAATTAAAAATGCAGCAAAATGTTTTACATTTTTCATCTCCATTTGGTTGATAAGTTCTTACACATTCAAGGCCATACCATCCATTAATACAACAAAGAGGAGATGAAAACAAGCAGCTCAATCGGGAGAGGAACCTGTGAAGTGTAGGGGAGAACTTGCGACACGCAAGCACTTAGCTAATGATAGATTTAACAGTCCTTAAGCTCCTAAAGACTCTATTATCAATTAACCACTAGAAATGTGACACACATAATTAGGTAAATTGCAGATTGGTTTAATGCAAATTTTTGCTAACTACAATGCTTCCTGTGTAAACTCCAGCACAACTATACAAGTGGACACACTACCATATACATACCTGGGCCACTGCTATCGTCATCAATTAAGATGCCATCTGTTTCAGCACCCTTATTCTGTTTATCTGTTAAAGAATGCAAGAACTTCATTACCAACAAATAGGAACCTGGTGCAAGATTAGACAATGCAAGAAACTGTTATCCTATTCCTAGAAAAATGAAATGAATGCCCTACCAAAGAAGTATGACAATATCTCGTGCTTCTTGATGTACAATGAGGTATTCACAGTTTCTTCAAGTCTTCTCCTCTTTCGCCTCTCCATACAACTATTTTCACGGCTTTTGGAAGACTGTGCTGATTCTGACCTAGAACCATTTGTCATGTTTACTGCCTGCTGCAATTCTTTTCCTTTGTTGATTAGAGCAAGCTCTCGGTCATACTTCGACACTTGAGATAAAAGGTCCTTCATGCGCAACTCTAACCACTGACATCTCCACATCATTGGGCGGACAGCACTCCTCCACTCAGCAGTTACCTTTTTCTTTCTGAAAGATAGTTTGTACATGTTAAACACTGACACAATATGAAAGCATATTAAAATTAATAGAATTTTTTTCATATGAAGTTACAGTGGGACTCAACTCTGGTATACTGATATGTATGTTACATTCACGACTTGGAAGTATAATGTTCTTTTTTAAAAAAAATGAAAACGTGTGTATTTATAGCAAAGCTAACACATATAATGCATTTAGATTGTGGGAGTAACTTATGTTACATACACAAATTTAAAGCAAAATGTATGAATTTTGATTGTGTTACATACACAAATTTGAAGAAAAATGTATGAATATATGACAAAGATCAACATGGCATGATATGTCTTCAGGTTGCACGAGGAACTTATGTTACATGCGCAAAACAGAAGCATGGCATATGAATATGTGACAAATGCTAGCAAGAAGGTATGCATATGAATGTGACAAAGCAAGAAGGATGGCTATGATCTTTGAGATCGAGCCATCAAGGTACGCAATGAACAAACTGGCTGCTGGTTCATGTTCCTGGCCATGCTAGCTCTATGCATCCATGAGTTGTCAGTTCGGAGGATATCTGTAGACATCAAGTAGCTGCCCAGGCTCAGCGCCGACCCTGTTCTGATTAGACCTGCCAATGGGGAGGGTATATGAGTATTACCCGGCCATACCCATCCCCAATTCCGCATACCCATAAAACAGAATCCCCAATCTTACCCTCCCCAATTTCCCCATTAATCAAATTACCCATATACAGTGGGTATTTGGGTAATTGGGTAGAACGATCTAACCAGGAAGCAAAGCAAAGAACTAGCAACAATGGAGCCAAGATCTTGGAAAATGCAGAGATGATGAATTTGGCCATGGTTTTGTCAGGCCGTTCTCCAAGAAGCCAACGTATCTGGCCATTCACCACCGTGCCGCCAAGGCACCACCCAAACCTGAGGAGGATCCAGGAGGAGCCACACAGCTGGCAGCAGCAGAAGAACGGAATGGGAATGTACACGACATCACTCTGCGGCGTGCACCGTGCTGCACAGGTTCCGCAAGGCCGTGGACGAGCGCATGGACACTTCGCTCCGGCAGGAGAACCAATCGTTGCTCGCCACACGGGGCTGTGTCTTCTCCCTCCTGCTGCTCCTCGTCAGGGATCACCTCGTCAGCGTCGCCAAAGAGGTCCGGCAGCTGCACGAGACTGGTGAGCTGACACGTCCTGCACTCCCGCAAGGTGTTCATCGAGGAAGAGGGATACGCCATGGTGTCAGCTTCTCTCAGGATTTGGGGAAGAAGCAACCGGAGAGAAAGATAAGATTGGTCAAACAGGTATACGGGCACCCCACCCCCCCCCCCCCCCACCCTATTATAAATGGGTATATCCAGACCCAACCCATTTCTAATGGGTAAAGCAAATTTTACCCATACACTACCTGTTTACCAAGGGTATGGGCATGGATAAAGGTTATGGTTATCCCTCGGCAAGACTAGTTCCAAAGCCTCCATCTGGTACCCACCCCGATGCCGCTAGCGCTGAAGCTAACAATATGTGGGAGGAGAGGCGAGGAGTTAGCCAGTGTGCCATGTTTGCTCAGGAAGACTTAGGAAGAAGAGCAGCCCAAAGTACAAAAGCTTGGCAACAAAACATAGTCCAATGTGAAAAGGAGTGTTAAAGCCTAGTCCAACATGAAATTTAGGTAATAAAATATAGTCCAAAGTGCAATTCACTCTTTCTTTATTTTTTCTGTATGTATGCAATTACACAAGTTCACTTCTAAATATTCCTGTTTTTAATTGTCACCAATCTAAACATCTATGTTCCAATGAAATTCATGGATTCCCCAATCCTATGTTCTGCATTGTATTCATTTCCTATTCTTGTGTTTTCTTCTATTCTTAAGCTTTAATTTCTCGTGTTCTAATTGAGCCCTTAATTGGTTCACTGGTTATGACTGCTCCATATTCCAATTTGAGTAATTTCCATCAATTTTCATTACTCACAATTATTTATATTCTTTAACATAGTGTGAGAGAAGTCTGACAGTAATTTAAAAGGTCCCAATGTTCACTGTATTCAGAGTCTGCTATTATTACTGTTATACTTTCACATAAGCGCCATTCGAGGAAATAGGTACTACCACATTTTTGCATAAACTACATCTGTAAGACCAACAAGACTAAATCTGACACACTTATATCCATCCATACACAATAGATAAAATATATGGCCAACAAATAAAAAACATATGCAGCTGAAACAAATATTGAGAATGAGACTAACTGTACAAGTGAACAGGGCACCTTGTTAGTAAATAAATAACATCTGAAGTTTCACTTGGACATGATATACGAAGACATCTAATATTATCGAACTTTATATGCTCTAGTCATACAACTTTTAGATATACGAATCCTAGTTACGATATGGTTTGGCAGTTGAAACTTTAATACAACCTTCCTTTTTAAGATCCCCAAAAGCGCGGGAAACCTAACTGAGTAGTAAATTAGTCTCCAGTTGCCGTCTTATACTTGTTAATTTCCTCCAACAACAATAAAATCAATCTATCATTTAGTGCATACAAGGCATTGGAATCAATAAACAAGCTCACCTAGGCCGAATCAATGCTTGAACACCATCAGCATTCTCCGAAAATGGAGAATCCACTTCCGAACCACCATGGTCAGCCTCATCATCGGTCTCGCAGCAAGAGTTCCCAAATGAACTCGAGCATTCCGTGGTGTCCCCGTCTTCCTCGTCGTTTGCGGGATCAGCACTCGCCGCATCGATGTCATGCGAGGAGGATGCTACCGCCAAAGGGTCCGCGCCAGTAGGCTTGTTGGCAGGGGCGAGAAGGGCACCGTCACCCACGGGGTCATCCGCCGCGCACGCGTGCTCGGATTTCACCACCAGGCTCTCCCCGGCGCTGCTCCTGCCCTGAACATCCGTGGCTCGTCCCTCGCCGTCGGAGGAGTCCAACCTCTCGCCGGAGCCACCCCCGCCCTGAACATCAGCGGCTGGACCATGGCTATCCGAGGAGTCCAGGGTGGTAGAGGCTGCAGCTACACGAACACCGTCGGGCTTGAGGGTGTTGTGGCTCTTCCCCCCGCCACACTCCCCCTCCGCATCCACGGCCGGCGCCGGCGCCATGGCTGGTAGATGCACCTCGCAACAGCCCGGAAATCAGAATTCCGCTAAGAAATCCGGAATTCCTCTAAGCAAAACCGCGCCAGAATCGAGGAAACCCCCCCGGCACCTGCAGAGAGGAAAAGGAACACAGAGATTACGCCAGAGAAACCGCAACAGAATCCACGAACAGAAACAGCGCAGAATCGGACGCACGACGCGAGTAGAATTCGCAAACCTCGCGGCACCGAAACGAAAAATCCGATCCCCCCCCCCCCCAACCAAGCGGGATATATAAAATCCCAATCGAACAAAAAACCTAGGGCTAAAGGCCACCCGCTTATAACGAGCAGAGCACCGAGAGAACGGGGTTAGGGGTGGGGGGGATTCAATCGGCTGGAATCCGCGGGCGCGAGGGCCTCGAGCTCGAGGCGAGATCGATTTGGGGCATGGCCCTGGCGCTCGCCTTTCCTTCGGCGCCGCTTGGTTTTATTTCTTTCGGGAAGAGGAGAGAGAGAGAGAGGAGAGGAGAGGAGAGGAAAAGTTCCCAACAAGATGCAGCAGCGTCACGCTGATCAAAAAGCAAGGTGAGGTCGGAAACTTTGCTTGGTTCTCAGGAGGTGGCAGCAACTAGGTGGTGGATATTGTTTGTTTCGGGGCGGTGCTGTAGTTGTACAGGGTTTATAATGTCGAGATGACCTTCCGTTTTGGATTACGGCGGAATAACATTTTTTTACGAAATCCGGTATAAAGCCGATAGATTCCGAATAAATTTTATAAACCAAAATTTAAATACAAATTCCCTAAGCTTACCGATAAGCTCGCGAAAACCGGTCAGCTTTGGCGAAATCATCGAAATTTCAATCGGTAATCAGAAAAAGAGGTAAACTGATTTTTTTTTCTTTTTTTAATTCGTTATTCTTTTCTTTTCTACTGTAAATTTCAGTAAATACACGGAATACATCATTTTTTTTTGAAAATTTATATCCCAACAGGTTTTGTAAATATCATACTATTTATAAGATTTTATTTGATTATTTTTCTTTTTTTATCAATTCAAATTTAAATTTGGATGAAACTCACCAAAATGTCAGATGACTTCTACTTTCAAACCTCGTCGAAACCTCGAAATTTCATCCGATACGGCGACGATGCAATACTAGTACTAGTAGAGCCGTCCTCGTAGACGCCGAAGAAGTGGAGGCGCGCCGCGTCCGGACCCAACCCAACTACCCCGTGCTGCATTGGCCAGGGGATCAGCAGAATTCGTGAAAGACTCAAGGGTCAAGACTACGTCTTGGATTGCAGATTGACAGAGAGCCAGCGGCGTCGTCAAGCCCAAACAACTAATAATGTTTCTCGCTGATAGATTAAATTTTATAGGTGTCGACGACTATCGACGGTGCAGATGGCAGGAACGGAGCCCGGACGGTCGCTCGACCTACCCGGGAGGTAACTCCGCCACTATAGTTTGAGATCTTACATAATTTTTAAGTTACTGACATGTAAACCCTCTTTGTTATGAATCTATCTGTCCTATCTGTCAATGACCTAAAGTCGGGGCAAGTAAAGGATCCTCCTCCCTTGGATTGCAGGATGTGGCTAAGGATTTTCCCTTGATTTTGATTTAGGTTGAGGACATATGATCAGTTACGTGGATGGTTGTTGGGCTTGATGTCCCTTTTTTATTATTAAGTTAAAGATTTTATTTTGATTTTCGTCAGCATACTTTTTAACCAATATTTTTCGTGTGAAAACGTTTTATATAAAAGTAATTGCATGAAAATTTTCTATATAAAAGTAACTGTATGGTATGCTTTTTCAGTTAAAACTGTAACGTCTGCGTGAACCCCACAATCCCCAAGCTATTCGATACATGCTGATCAGCTCACCGAACAATGTCTTTTAGACGTGTTTGGTTTGTGGTCTAAATTGATCTTTCCAACTTTTATCAAGACTAATTTTTATCAATGTTAAATTTCGACATGGCTAATCTTGACAAGACAAAATTGTGTTGGGTTGAAACCAAAATAGCCTAAGCTAACTATTGAAATGACTTATTTTTTTAGGCATACCAAAATTTAACTTCAAAGTCACTAAACACTATTGAAATTGCCAAATATTGGTAAGGCCAATTTAGGCTACAAACCAAACCAGCCGTTAATCACACCTTTCATGTCCATGTCTTCCATTTTCATCATGTTTCATCGTATTCCAGAGTTACACTACCGAAGCACAAGTAACAAACATATTATCTTCACATTAATTAGATAAAAAAAACACTAAGCAATGGCCTTTCTGCATTCACGGAACAAAAAGGTTCAGCCAGTTGATGGATTACGGTTCTACAACCGATACCACTTTCTAGACATAGGCAATATAGTTTTATGAACCGTATTTGGTAATAAAATGTATAACGGAAAGGCATACCACAGAACAAGCAAAATGCTCGAGTTGGTAAATATAACAGTAAACATGCCAAATCCAGCAGATACCACTTCCTATCTGAAAGTACTGAATACAAGACCACAAGTTCTAGTTCTTCGATGGGATGCTCTCCAGCTCTTTCCTGAGCTGCAGAGAGAAGTCGTCATTGACATCATCGTCATCCCAGTCATCCTCCCATTGCTGAACTGCCTCGTTGCCTTCTTCCTTGTCATCCCATTCTGAAGTTCCAAAATGTATACGAGATGTCGTTAGAAATACAGTAACAAGTGTATGTCATGTGTATTATTTGAACAATAAATATACCAGTATATTGTTCGGGATGTTGCAAGGAACAGATTGAGATAAAAAAAATTGCATACTTATTGAAATAAACCCTGAAATGTTTTTGTGGCTGAACTACAGAGTATCATCTACCTATCATCTATATTGAGCATCATTTGACCATCAGAACTAAATGAAGCGTAATCGGACGGCCCAAAAAGAGTCACTTGTATGTCAAGAACTCGGGGCTGAAGGCAAATCACATCATCATAGGATGGAAATAAAGAAAATTGTTGCTGAACTTCTATGACAAACCATTCTTCATATGCTAGAGGAAAAAAATTGAAGCATGGGCAAGTGATAATTATGTACGAGCTTTGCGCTTATAGATACAGGAACCAATAAACATAAACATCATGAAAAAACACTGGTTCATACTACAAACGAGCCGACGTGATATACCGCTCGGACAGCACATTGGAATTCCCTAAGTTGCGGCATTGACACAAGAACAGATCCATAATCCTGATTTTTGGAGGGCGTAGACAGGAATTCTCTGACTAGTGGCGAAGTGCGACTATAATAATTGTACTGACACAAGAACGGATCCTTAATAGTACTGAATTTTAAAAGAACATAGACAGACAGAATTATGGTGAGCTAGTTTTATTCTTTTTTTTTTCGGGTAGTTTTGTTCTTGTTATTTACCAACAGATTAAAGCTACTAAGCTAGGTGAGTAATTTGACAGGGATGACAAGACACTAATCACCAGATCACTGAACAGACAAGTAGACCACACGATTGCGTTGCGGCGAGACCTCTTGCAAGAAGAGCAAATCTAGTAGGACGCGCTAGATCTGAAGTAGACCCATACATCACCAGCAGTATCATCATCAACAAAAAAGAATAGAGGACAAGGAAACGGATCGGTGCATGCCTTGGTCGATCTCAAACTCCTCGAACTCGTCGTCGTCCTCGAGCAGGTCCATCTTGGCCGCCTCCGCCGCCGCATCGGCCTTCGCCGTATCCGCCATCGGGGATCCTACAACCGCAAGAAATTAACCCCCGCCGGACGCAACGGATCCCCTGGATAGGATAGGCAAGGATCGGTGAGGCCAGCGAAAATTAGGGTTTGGATCCAGGAGGGAATCGGATGAACTGAACGCACCTTGGCGCTGGAGCTCGCGCGACCGCCGATAGGAGTCGATGTGCTTTGCTTGGGGTCGGGGAAAGGAGAAATACGGTAGTAGACGGGAGACGCCAGCCACGGCACGAGCACGATGGCAAATGGGCCGTCGTAGCACCACCTAGGCATTATGGGCCGGTAAGGCATGGCGAGCACAGCACGGCGCGGAGGCCGTCCGCCCAAGTCATATTTCCTCTTAGGAATAAGTTAACTTTGGCTCCCCTAACTAATGATCGAATCTAATTCGTATCCCTGATCCGCAATACCGGATGACCCCTCAATTGTCAAAACCGGTGTAATTTGACTCCCACGGTGGTTTTGGATGACGGTTTCACTGACGTGGCAGCGTTGACTTGGTTTTCGTACTTCGTGGCGTTTAGATGGCATTAGAATTAAAAAAATAATAGATGATTCCCCGCGCTTTGCTGCGTAAATTACTAATCAATTCTCAATATATATTTTTTTGACAATCAAACTAGAAGTAAAAAGGAAAAAAATAATGAAACATTAGGGTTTATCAGTACTTATCATGAAATAAACAAATGATACACGCGCTTTAATGTGAAACATATTGATAATTTTATGTTAAATATTATAAAAAAAATAATAGATAGATTTGTTAAAATATTGTGCAAATGATGTGAGGGGTGATAATTGGATATGCTTGTATGTTGATTGCATAATTAAATAAATTTGTAGATGATGTTGTATGCTCGCATGAGGTTAAATATGTAATTATTGCTAGTGGGTGATGATGTAACATGGTTGTGTGTTGAGCTTTAAACTTAGTGGGCTATAACTTTATAGAAAGTATAGATATGTGAGACCCATTTATCATTCACGAAAAATATTGTGGACCCACTGCCATGTGGGACCCACATGTTAGCCTACCTCTTTAACCCCCCCTTCCCCCTCCCTCTCTTCCCCTTGAGCCGTGGCGATGGCGGAGTGGCACCAGCGGTCGTTGGAGCGGCGGTGGTAGGCGGGTGAGGGGATTGCAGCGGCGAGTGGCGGACTTTGCGAGCGCGAATGGGCGCACCATCTTCACCTAGCAGCTTGTCTAAGGAAAGGTTCCACACCTTGTCCCTGGCGAGAGTGGCGACACGGCGGACGATGAGCTCGGAGGAGTTCCCGAGGCTCTCGGCGACGCCGCCGCCGTCACCACCACCACCACCACCTCGCCCCCCCCCCACAACCACCCCCTCCCGTAGCGACGGGAGGGCACTGCTGCCGCATGCTCGTCGTCGCGCCACTGGATCGGGAGGGGCCCACCCACGCCCATCGACCTCCTATCTCATCCGTTGCTACCGCCGGCTTTCGTCCCCACGCCCATCATCAAGGCCCTCGTGACCTCAATGAAAAGAAGAAGAAGCCCTCTCCCGGTGCCGCAATCGGCCGGTTCGCTCCATCGACCATCGGCTGGCCCCTTCGCTCCCTCTACCATTGCTGCTCGCCACCACAATCCTAGCCCCAATCTAGCCACAATCCCCTTAGTTCACCCATCGCCGCTCGCCCGCTGCAATCTCCCTCAATCTGCCTCACCGTCCGGTTGCCCCTCCTCCGTCGCGCTCATCTACGACGCTCCGCCGGCTGGGGAAAGATCAGGAGCGAAAGGATGGCGCGGCTCCACCTCAACTACCCCCTCAACATGAGCGCCAGCGCCGAGTCTGCCGCTGCCTTCACCACCCACGACTACGGCATGGCGGCGCGTCCTTGCCCGAGTTGCCGTGAAGAGAAAGGGGGAGAGAAAGAGAGAGAAGGGAGAGAGAAAGGGAGGAGGAAGGGAAGGACATAGGATGACATGTGGGACCCACCTGTCAGTGGGCCCTATAATTTTTTTTTGTAAATGACAAATGGGTACCACACTTTTTTTAATTCTAATATCACATAAGCGCCACATCAACACCACGTGGAATAAAGACCAAATCAAAACCGCTACATAGGCGCCACGTCAGCAAAACTATCCTTCAAAACCGCCTAGGGAGTCAAATTGTACCCGTTTTAATAGTTGGAGGTTCAAGATATCCAGTATTGTAGTTTAAGGATATGAATCAGATTCGGCCGCTAATTAAGGGAGTCAAGTAAACTTATTCCTTCCTCTTATTTCCCAAGTGAACCAATCGGCCAGTCCACTCGACGTAGGTCGAGTGTAAAAGCGGAACACCTTCATCGCCTCTCTCGGGTGAATGCCTTTGGCCGTCACGGTAGGCGCGATTTTCGCGGTCGCAATAATGTTGATTGAGCGCGTGCCTCATATCGCTAGGAGTGTGGGCGCAGTGTCCGTCGTAGTAGGAGTCACCATGATGGTCACTGTCGTGCTGCCGGTCGCGAGAGTCGACCGACTGATCCAGTCATCGTCTTTCATGATGGTGTAGATTAGATCTGGTGTGCCCTCTGCTGCGCTCGGGAGCATGCACGACAATCTCTGGTGGGAGATCTGGTCAAAAAAAAATCTCTAGTGGGAGACGGGTCTGGGACGGTGTCTCAATCGTAGATTCCTCAGGCCGATAGCTGCCTCCAACTTCCGGGGGGCACTATTGCAGCGATCATAGTCTTGACTTTGTTCAGGATAGGCCTGAAGTTAGCCGGAGCCGCGTCAATAATGGTGCAAGGTGACTACCGCTACCTTGTTTTGTTGAGGTGTAACGAAGACATTAGTGTTGTCGACTCGAGTCTGAAGCATTCTATTGTGAGAGGCACGTCCAGCATGAGCTAGATCTCGCCTCATGCGTTCTTCCTCTTCCCTGCGCTTGCGCTCCTCTTCAAGTCTAGCGTGTTCCTCTTCAGCTTCTCTGGCTAGCCGGGCAACTTCCTCTTGGTTCAGCGAATCTGCCATGAACACACCAAAAAGGAATTGGGTGTAGTCGTCGTTGAACTATGAGCTTCCTAGACTTTCGGTGGTGCGGTCGTCATAGACGTCAAAAGAGCTGAGAAAGTTGGCAATCTCCGTGTCCGAACAAGATCCGAGTGGTTGGAGCGTGACGCCCATCTCCCTGAAGCCCAATCTAGGCGAAGCCGAAGCTTGCTCAGATCGGGACCTAAGGGGATAGACAGATCCAGATTCGAACGTGGCAGAGGGGGAAGTTGCATGATGACCTGAGGATATGCACTGGTGATGGTGGAAAGATTGCGAGGGCGCACTGATGTAGATGAATCCCCCGAGTGGTTTGAAGCCAGCCTAGAAGATAAAGTGTTGGAGTACATCTCGGCGGAATTTGGTAAGCCAAACGGTGCCGAGTGGTCACGACCTCTTCCCCGACTAGTTCGAATCCGAGTCAAGAAGAGAGATGTTGCCGAAGTTGTCAGTGATGAAGTCGAGACTGCCAAAGCGGTAGGCCTGCCCTGGAGGGAAGGAGAAGGAGTTGACTCCTGGAGTAGAACCCATCGTACTTGTCGACGGAAAACTCGACGCAACCCCTACCTGGCGCGCCAATTGTCGATACTAGGAATCGACAATATGAAAAGGGGGTAGTGCACGAGAGCTAAAGTAGATGGGTGGAAAGACAAGGGTTTAGGCAGGTTCAGGCCCTCTTGACGAAAAGTAATACTGACTCTTGTTTAGGGATTTGACTCCACCGAATATTGTATTGATCTGACGACCTTTAGTGTGGTTATGCCCTCAAGAGGCCTCTTGCCCACCTTATATAGATCGGGAGCGGATTACAGATACAAACCTAACCGAATAGAGAATATATTTTACGATATTCCCGATTAAGACTTTAAACCGTTTCCTTAATACTCAAGGAAACGTAATACCCAAGTCATAATCCGTTACATATTTTAGAGATATAACATATCCCCTATAATCAGTCGAATAAACTAGCCGTACGTGTAGGTATATGGTACTCATAATCTCCACAACAAGTTTGCTCGGTTCGCTCTACATGGATGCAGACCGCAGTGAGTTCACATTGTCGATGGTGGATATCCGTAGACCGGATAAATAGGGTATTTGGATACATTGGTACGAGGATCTACACGATACGACATCAAGCAAACAAGAAGACAAGGATTATACTGGTTTAAGTCCCTTGTAAGGTAATAGCCCTAATCCAATTTATATGAGATTGATATGGAAAGACCACATATTACAATAGAGAATTGATGATCTCGAGATTAACGGCGAGATCCCTATCGAGATGGGTTCGATGAGATCTCCCGACGAGTATGTTTCGCGTCATCCGGATTGTAGGCTATGGTGGTTGTATTGGTGCTATGATTCAATGATCCAGACCCTTAGGGGTGTGTCTTTTTTATATCGTAAGTCACCTTAGTCTGTAAGTAGAACTCGAAGACAACTGACCCTCCACAATATAGTATAAACCCAATCCTTTCTGAGTAGGACTCGAAGACAACGGACCCTCCACAATATAGTATAAACCCAATCCTTTTTAAGTAGGACTCTGACATTTCTCTTCTCGTGAGGATAGTTTCTATATCACCTCGTAAATTTTGTTATTGTACACGAAAATATCTCGTATATGCAAAGATATGTTATATCCGTATATTCTATAAGTCGTAGGATATGAGGTATGTCTTATTTGTAACCATGGCACACATACCCTCCTGGCGACAAGGTACATTTCTAAAAACCAATGAAAAGGTATATTTCCAATTTCTTTTCATAGTACTAATTATATTATTACTTAATTGAAGAGGAGTACGGTCAAAACAAGAAAAATAGATATATATTTTTCTATGATTTAACTGGAATATACACGTTTAGAAGGGAATGACAGAAATACCGTTATCGCAAAATGGAAGTGCGAGGCCGGGAGGTGAGTGAACGATACCTCGCGCGAGTCTCGCGCGGCTAGTCCGCGAGACCGCACAAACTCACGCGATTAATTAATTAATTAGAGTCGTTAGCAATTAATTATTATTTCTTTAATTAAGATCATCAGTAATTAATTACTCGCTAATTAGTATGATTAATTGCGTCATTAGCTGCCAGTGCGGCCCACAAGTGAGACCAAGGCTCAACGGCCATCTCGCTCGGCCAACTAGTGACACCGAGGCTGGTCTCGCATTTTAACCTTGCCAGACCGCCCCTGCCATCGCGCTTTCGTCACTATTGTGTGTTCGTCTTGTGATTTAGTCGCGATTTTGCGCTGCCGAACCGTGGCGACGGTCTATTTGTGATTCCGTCGTGATTTCACACTGCCGAACCACGACGATGGTATGTTTGTGTAAATTTGTTCGCATCTAGTATATTTCTAAAAACTTCAACAGTATGATTTCAAAATTTTGTCGTCAAAAAAAAAAAGGGGAAAATGGATCTCAAGGAAGAGGAAGCCCACTTAGGAGGCACCCAAAAAAGGTAAATCAGATCCGTTCTACTCCCTCCATTTCAGGTTACAAGATGTTTTAACTTTGTTTAAAGTTATACTGCTTATATAAGTTTGACATTACCAAATTAGTTGTATTAAATTAATAATTACATATTTTTTATAATAAATTTATCTTAGGTTGAAAATATTACTATTGCAGTTTGACTTTAACCAAAGTCAAAACATCTTATAACCTCAATCGGGTTATAATCGGAGGGAGGGAGTATTATAATTATAAATGTCTATTTAAACAAATGTTATTACGATTCATCTCGCCTTCGCGTTGCGTTACCAATGCACGATTTCATGCTCGCTTCCCACCGTGCGAACTTGCTACTTCGCATCACCGCGCTGCAGTACCATGCAAATATTTCGAGTACGCATTTGTGAGAAAAAAACAATAAACAGTCTACTTTCAAATTTTAATCTATATGTGCCGACCTCGTCATACACCTATGTCAAGCTTGGGTAAAAAGTATTGAGAGCCACATAGACACCAATCATTCCTGCTGTCATTGCAGTTAACGTAGTGAACTGAAACAACTAAATGGAGTACAGATCTAATGCCGAGTTTAGTTCCAAAATTATTCTTCAAACTTCCAACTTTTCTATCACATCAAAATTTTTCTACACATAAACTTTCAACTTTTCCGTCACATCGTTTCGATTTCGACCAAACTTCCAATTTTGACGTGAACTAAACACACCCTAAGTTTACATAATATAAATCAGCAACACAGAACATCTAGTACGTCAGCACATCAACCACGGTTCAAAGGACAACCAAAGGTGGTACATCAACATATATATGGCATCAGATATTTAAAATACAGTCGACAACAATGTGCAGATAGTTTCTTCCACTTACTAGATGTAAAATAAGTACTGGGACTATGACTACAGAACACATGATCTCTGTTTCGCAAATATAATGCAATATGAATAATATTAAACAGAAGTCGACCTACTAAACAAAGGGCGAAGCCTGTAGCGCAGTGAAGCCATAACCAGGATGATTTGATCTAATCCATGCTATCCTCGAGTTCCAGGTTCCTGGATCCTTAAGTAGCCGTCACAGTCTGGAGGGTTTTCATGTTCAATCAGACTTCACCTGCAACAACGTAGGCAGCAAATGATCATAAAGTGTTTCACCAGTGTAATGAGTTCTCTCTATTTTTTTTTTTCCTTTGTTCAGGGCGGGAGGGGCATTGTAAATGTGGGAGGAATTATTTGGTATTTACCGGAGAGGGAGAGCGGGATAAGCTCCTGCTTGGGCTTTTACTAACAGATCTTCCACGAGAAGGCTGCCAAAAAAAGGCAAATTGCAATAAACAAAATGATTGAAAATAGGACTTAATTCACTTTTTAATAATAGATGACTTGCTGCAAGACTTACTGAAGAAACAGGAGTCCGTGATCTTGATATTGATCTGCAAAATTTCACAGGCAAAACCAATCACTCAGTGTGATTTCATCCAAAAACTACTAACAGAAATATCAAAACAAATTACAGAAGAACCACACTGATAAGTAAGCATTTTTGTATTCATGCTAAATGGCTAATATGTGCCAATGAACAAAACAAAATCTCTATTTCAACAGAATCCGCATAAAAACTAAGCAGGATCAATTTCTTTTGTTGTGAAAAAAGCACGTACATATTCCAGAAAAATGCTTACCAAGTACCATAATCTTGTTTTATCAGGATGCAAGAATAATTAAAAGAAAACTTTGAGATCTCATGTAAGTTAGGTCCATGTCATGCAGTATATGAAATTGAAGTGCCTACGGTCAACAAATTCTCAATAATAACACAAATCCACTCCACATATCCTTACTGTCAGGCCTAGCTCGCTCCTAGGACTGGTTGTTGCCCATTTGCCATACATGCATCACAATCCAGCTCTACTATCCAAAGTTCCAAACCATCCTTTCGATTCTCAACATATCCAAAATCTATGAAAGCAGTCCCCAGATTGCCGCATGGCCAGATCTAGGAAAAACAAAAGCAAACCTTGAACATTGCAAGTTAGCCACCAGCACTGTGTTTTAGTCATTGGGCCATAGAGGAAATTTAAGTCATATCAATTTAAAAGGAGACATACATTAGTCGGTCAAAAAAAAGGAAATACATTACAAGCTTTTCAATCATATGTTTTATGAACCACAGTGGAAGTTCCAAAGTATATAAAAACCCAAATTCCAACACATACTCCTGTTTCTCTTTAACGACAAAAAAGGCATGCCAGTAAAAAGCTGATGTTATAAAAGGATATACCTTTCATCCACAGGTGACGGTGACCGAGAAACAGATCTGTGGAACAATGCAGTCAACAATTAGTGCTGCCATAGTGCTCCTGCTGTAACTACGACTTCTTGAGTAAGAGCGGCTTCTGCTTCTTGATCTATCATCATACTCCCTCACCTATCATAGAAATAAGAACACGTTGACGAAAGATCACAATCAAATGCATCTAGAAGACATATTATCTATTATCATAGCAAAAACAGGAAAAACCCTCATGGTCAAAAAACAAATAAATCCATACCCTGATATATGCCCGTGAAAATGCATTTCTGAACTCTGAGTCATCAAGCTTCCTAATCTGCAAGATCATCAAAAGATCATAAGAGATACATACCAAATACTCCCTCTAATCATAAATATTTGATTTTTATGTCAAACTTATGAAACTTCAATCATTAATAATTTTTCAAATGCTTTGTTGAAAAAAAAAGATGGTAGGCTAGATTTACCTTGAAAAGTACTATCATAATGTCATAAATTTATTAGATTTTATAAACTTATTCTAATATAAAATTGATAGTCAACATTTCAAAAATTTGACCAAATCTTGCCATAAATGTCAACGTATATGACCAAAGTGTATAACAGGAATAACACATCTGAAAATGTTCCCTCATCAATTACCAAAAAGTATAATATTTTCAGAATGCACTTTATACAGAAGATATCAAACATACCGCATACTTCATGTCTTCATAGGTTGTATAATCCACAATTCCAACGGTTGCTGCAACACAAACAGAAAGACAAATATTACTGACATAGCCCGCAAACTATATAGAAAGGCCTCTGCAGGCTCAGAGGTTGCTTCTGAGTATAGGACATTGTCGTTTCTTTCATTTTCAGTTTTAGCATTTTAGGACTTCTTTTATAATTATTTTTCCCTGACCTGAGGGGGTTTGACGGGCCTGATGACCAGCTGACAGACGTCATCCAGTCTCTGTCTTAATGAAATAATACACAGCTTTTGTATTCTCAGAAAAAATATTAAAGCATGAATCTTGATTTCGGAGGACAATGAATTAAAACTAAGATCAACACATAAGCAATTGATTCTCATCCCAGGGCCCATGGTACGATGACATAACAAGAAGAGAACATTTATTACTAACCTCCAGCCTCACGGTATACATCAGAGAAGCAGACATCACCAGCCCGCCGCATATGGTCCTGAATGTAGGTAATAATTAGGTCATTAGAGAAAAATCTATAAATAGAAGTTATGTACAACACCAATACCTTAAGATCCTGCCATGATGCCGATGAAGGTAAGCCAGTGACCATAACTGCATGGTCCAACAAATAGAAACATCACATTCTTTGTTGGGATACACCGACTAACACATTCAAGAGAAAGAATTACAAACCGCGATATTCAGAACGCCTAGAAACACCTCCACGTCGTCCACTGCTATAGCTTCTTGGGCGATCGTATGAGTAAGATTGACCTCTTCCACCATGAGCTAATTCCACCTACGTACAGAAAATATAAAGCCACAGGCACAGAAAACCAAAGCAGACCAGAAGACCGGAAGAAAAACATTTTGATATCCATACCCGCAACCTGTAGCCATCAAAGTTATACCCATCACGGCCGCAAATTGCATCATCAGCATCACGGGGATCCTCAAACTACAAAAGCACATATTTTCTATTAGCTATTTAGCATCCAATACTTAGCTATACATCTTAAAAGATGCACTTACATCTTAAGAAAACTTAGCTATACCTAAACTAAAACTTAGTCTTGAAAAAAATCTAGAAGTAAATTTTATTGAAAACAACCATCCTTTAAAGAAGAAATGATATTAATATCAGGGTAATAATAGGGACTATATTATAAATTTCAATAAAATTTTCAATACAAGTACCCTTACAGAAGACATGGCTGTTGCAAAAGGACACTCACCTAAACAAAAGCATAACCAGGAGGTCTTGGAGGAATCTTCAAGTCAATGTCCAAAATGCGACCGTACTGCATTAGAATAAATTTATGAGAAAAAAAAGCATGCATGTTATCAAGATTAAGGTTCTTATTGCAATTGTAAGGGATAAAAACACTGGAATAACATATATACATAAACTTAATTGGACTTATTAGTGAAACTTTTCACAACTGCACCTCCACATTAGCTTAGAAAATAAGTACAAATACAACACCCTTAATCTGAATATGACTCATGAAATATATCATTTGTCAACACGTTCCCATCTGCAATATATGACTACTTTTTCGCAATGGCACACAGGTTATCAGTTGTCATCTAGGATAAATCACACCCAACTGTTTACGCTGATGGATGCTCAAGAGCATCAATGGTTGTGCTATTAAGAAAATGATTATTCACTACCAAAACAGCAGGAGAAGACATCGCAAGTTGAAACAGCCAACAGATATTTAATACAGACAAGACAACTTCCTAAATAGCGCTTCTTTGGCGACACAAGGCCAGATGGTTCCTTTCTTCCCGCAATTGCTTTACCCTTAGACTCATCCACGAATTACAGAACAATAATCCTTTATAACTCTTATAATACTATAATAATAATTATTTAAATCCTTCAACCACTAGCATAATAGTGATTTAAATCCTTCAACCGCTAGCTATTTCTCACATTAATAAGCTAAGGCAACTTAACAGGTAGGAAAATAAGCAATGTATTATGCCTATACAGCTACGACCAGATTGAAATGGTAGTTGCTTATGAGAAGAACTGAGGTAGATTGTAAAGCAGTAAAGCTCACCTTGTAAAAGAGATCCTCAACCTCCCTCTCACGAATGTCCCCAGGGAGATTGCCTACATAGATGGTGCGGCTGTTGCGTCTGCTCATTGTTTCTGCATATATAGGAGTTAAAGCAGGTCAACTAAAATTATAGATGCAAATATGCAAGATAAAATGACCTTGTAAATTCAAGATTCTGTTAATAAATAATATGGGGAAACATTTCAAGCACAAAGGAGCGTAGCACTGTACTAATTTTGTGTAGGCGCATATTGTCAAACAACAGCAAAGATTGGGGAAAGGGCAAATTTCGACAGTATAACACTAAACTACAGAATTTGGAGATTTACATAATACCAAGGCTGCACAAAAGAGATTTCACCATAAACTTTAAATTTTTCAAAACAAAAACAAGATATTTCCCAAACAAAAAAAATGATATTTGTGCAGTGATTTCCTTAGAAATATTTAACTGTCACCCAAAGCACCAATACCATGTTCAATCATCATTATCTACCTGCCAAATAGGTATAAATACCAGCTGTACAAGCATTCTGGGTCCGCGCCTACAGCAGGAGGGACCATATCCGGCTGAAAGATATGCAGTCATCTATTTCCTAGTTTGGCGTTTGTTATCTACTTTCCACTTTATCTCTATTTTTCCTGATTATTAGCTAGGCCCTCGTCGATAAAGATTGCTCAGATTTGTAACAGGGAGTAATCAACCAGTGTATAGAACTCAAAAGGGCCTCTGTCCAAACCTTGGCCAAGGCAAGCAGAGCTTCAAGCCGTGCAGGACAAGCCTACCTTCCTCTGTTTCCTCTCTTCAATGCGCCATAATAATCATGGATTTGTATCAATACAATCTTTTAGTGTTATTAACGTAGTCTGGATTGCAACTTGTATTGAAACTAGATACAGACACTTGTACTAAAAACTAAAGAATTTATCAGCACAAGTCCTTTTACATGCTAATTAATAGACTTTTGGATTCTTGCACATTAAAAAAAAAAACTGAATAGCCGCATATATCTAAGATGTTTCGTAACTAATCTCAAATACCCATACCTGTGATTAGGGTAAAGAAACAATAAACAAATCTAGCGGCTGTTTCCCATCGCCACCGCGTACTCTAGACGAGACAAACTTAAAAATAAAAGCATACATACATACATACATAGGCTCCGTGCATAGAGCCGACGAAGCCATGGCATATGCAAAGGTAACGAAATCTCTACCATAACTAGCGCCAAAACGGGAGAACCCCTGGTTTCTAATCTGAGAACTCCCTACCCTGTAGACAGACGGATAAAAATGGCGGCGCGCGCCGCAGAATTTCCGGGAAGGGAACCGCAGCCAATCGGCCACCACACGCGATGATGATCGGAGAGATCGAGGAGAACACGCGCGCGGAGAAGAAGGGAAAAAAAAAAGGGAAAGCTGGGAGAGGATTTCGGGGTTTTTCCCGATGATTTCCGACGAACGCACCTGACGGGGAGAGGGAGAGCGGTGGTGGTGGGTCGAGAAGCTTCTGGGGGCTCCGGAGGCGACGCCGCGTGGAGCGGAGAGCGGAAACGAAACCGACCTGCGACAAAAATCTGGCCGCCCACGAGAAACCGATACATGTGGTGGGGTTGGACCTGGAGGGACGTGTTGTGGAGACGCGTGTGTGGCTTTGAGATGCGTGCGTGGTGCCCATTTCGAAAGCGACGGATAAATCAATAATATTACTCCCTCCATCCATGATATAAGGCGTTTCAAAATTCAACTTTTTGACTAATATTTAATGTAACTAGTAATATGTCCGTGCTAAATGCTACGGTGCAATTCTATTTAACTGTATCTTTAAAAAAATTTCATGTTACCAAAAAATATTTTTATATGATCTGTGCATTTAAACTTTAATTAAATTCATATAGTACATTAAATATATTTCATGTAAGTACAGTACTATGATATTACGTGGGCACAGTAAAACTTTACCAGACTTAATTATATATAATATACCCTATGTACACAATATAAAAGGCAATATACGTATAAAAATATGTAAGAGAAGTATAGAGTTATTCCATTATTTGTTGCGGGCAGAAAAATATGTTAGAGAAGTATAGAGTTATTCTATTATTTAAATAAAGCATTTGTAATGTATAGAATACACCCCATAGGTAAAGAATGACTATTCTAATGTTTTGCATTTGCGATACAGTGAAGAAAATCTCGTGCGCCGCTAGGAACGTTGCTTGCGCACTCATTTTGCTCGTACATCAATATATATAGCAAAAATTTGTTTCCTTAGCTCGTCAACATCCTGCAAATGTATATGTTTATAAAATAAATAATTGTATTATAAAATAAAATATAATATTCTAAATGTCAATGCTAGTCAGAATGACCTTAAAAGACGGCAAATGAAGTGCTCCATCTTTCCAGGATCGCATGAACAGATGTACGAGACAACCCGACAAATTCCTATGAAATTTGAATAGTTAGGTACCATGCGTTAGACAAAAATAATTTATTGGATCAAACAAGATTTTACAAGAAAACTTACGAGTTAGCCACCGGATTTGTGACATATATATGGCGCCACAAGTCGATATCCTCAGTCCACCTAGAGCCAAGACATGCCACACGCATGGCTCTGTTGAAATAGTTGGTAACGTTTAACAATTTTTTGATATATCTCATAGATACATTGGATTTAGTGGATTAGGGTCTAGAAGATAAAGTGTTTTGCTTTCTTGGTCCAGTATGACCAAGATATAGCTTCCAACAGCACATACTGGTATAAGAATCTGGAAAAAGTCAACCGTCAAGATAATATAAAAAACACATTCAAATAAGAACAAAGGATAGTTAGCTTACCGATTTGCATTTTGCAACTTCATAATGGATTTTCGACCAGCTACCAACCGACCCTGCAAGATCTATATCCTTATGGAACATCGGACTTATACCAAATCCAGTAGCAGTCTATATGATGTACAATAATTGTTTAAAATATGAGCAAAAGAATCAATATTGGGTAGATTATAAAAACTTACCAAAAATGGTAAGTCCAGGCAATGCTTCGTTATTGCTTCGCTGGTTTTGTGAAGCGACTGGATGTTTTCATACATGAACTTGCGTATGGCCATGTTGAAGCAATCACGGTCAAGTGGTCCATCCTTTAGTACTGTTTGAAGTGTTTTGAGACTTAATTTTATGGTGTGCGGACGTGAACTTTGCACCCATATATTCCTGTCAATCAATAAAAAAAATAAGTTAGTGCATCTTTGAACTATGGGGTAGATATATTATATAGAAGTGGCTTACTCCAAGGTTTCGGCACAATTTATTTATATGTACTGGAAAAGGCCGCCTATCAACTCCTATAAACTCATAGCAGAAACCACCGAGAGAAGGGAACTATATTTGTGATCGTTGGTTGCCGAGCGTACTTTAGATTCCTTCATGTCCCATCTTTCTCTTTGACGACTGCCCACTATCACAACATCATTTTCATTGTCTGTATCTTCGACTTGTTCAACATTGGAAGCCTCAGCCGCCATATTTGTTTTCCAACACAGTAATATACCGGCTAAGTTGTACCTAAAAAGTTCAATATCTTTCTGCATAGTAAACATAACTTCGTTTAATAGGAAAACATTTGACTAATATTTAATGTAATATGAAATTAATTTTATTTGTTAAAAATTATATAATTAAATTGACATTTAAATTTACTTTCATATGATTATAATTTTGTTGCTACAAACCTTATATATATGAGAAATTATAAGTTAAATATTAGTTTTGGAGATCGTGTAACTTTTACCATACCTTATATTATGTGATGGAGGGAGTAATTGTGTTTTAATTATTTCAAACTTAAAATATATATTCACCTGATGTTTTAAAATAACTTTTATATAATAAAATATTTTCACACGAAATACATCATTTAACTGTTTAAATACATATTAACGAAAACCAAGATAACCTTTTATGTTAATTAGAAAATGAAGAGAAAAATGCTCGGATTGACACGTGATCCATATCTATTTAGGATATTTAGAGTTGCGTATTCCTAGGTTTAAAAAACGTTTGGATGCATCATTTTGTTCAGATTAAAACATAAGATCTTACAACATTGTTCTTGCAAACTCTAAATCCAGTAATATCTACGGTCTGAAGTTGAGCCACAAACAACTGAAATAAAAATAGCAAAACTAAATGTTAAATGCGAGAAGAATTAATTACCAATCCCAATTATGTCGAGAATTCGTTGCTATAAACAACATTGTCACAATATTTCCCATACAAATTGACTACTAATTTCTCTAGTGGTGTATATTTATTAATTGTAAGCTCGAAGAATTGTGACATTATCAAATTATATTTCATGATGAATCTACGTATACACTCCATCTTCCTGTTGTAAACAGAAATATGGATGACGTGTGAGGATGGTTAATATGAGTTGAGAAAGCAAGATCGCAACGGAAAAAAAAACAAAGCAACTATGAAAGGAGTCAAGGACATACGGTCGTCTCTTGCGTGAAGTTTTCTTTAACTTAAATACTCCCTCTGTTTCACAATATAAATCATTTTATTATTTCGCTTATTCATACTGAGATTAATGAATCTAGATATATAAATCATTCTATTATTTCCCTCATTCATACTGAGATTAATGAATCTAGATATATAGTTTCACAATGTAAGTCATTCTAGCATTTTCCATATTTATATTGATCTCATTCTAGATTCATTAATGTAAATATAAATATAAAAAATGATAGAATGACTTATATTGTAAAACGAAGGGAGTACCTTTTCGAAAAATGCAGAATAAGCAAAGGAGTCACGACGAATTTAGCACTGTTTAATCAAAACATTAGCGTCCTACAACTCGAATATAATGATTAATTTTTCTTTACAAAAAAAAAATTCCTCTTCCTTCCTCCTCCCAACAAAATGAGATCGACGCCGCGGTGTGCCCCCTTCCCCAACCCAAACCCTAACCCCGATGCTTCCCCTCCCCCGTCGTCGCCGATGACCCCTCGCGCGCCGTCGATGCGCCACCACCCGCCGCACCTCTACCTCGCCGAGGTCGTCGCCTCCTGGCACCCCTTCCACAAGAAGCCCTGCCTCTCCGACCGATCCACCGCTCCCCCCTCCGCCCACTTCGCCGACGCCCCGGAGACCCAGACCCAGACCCCGACACCTCCCCTCTCCGCCAGCGGCGGCGGCGGCGGCGGGTCGTTCCGGTGGCTCGGGCCACGCAAGCGCCGCCGCCGCGGCGCGGGGTCGCGGTCGGTGTCCGGCCGCAGCAGCGACCGCCGTAGATCCGGCACCTGCTCCGACTTCCACGTCACGTGCGGCGCCGGTGGCGGCGGCGCCACCGACTCCAGCGGCGAGATGTGGGCCTCGGACGTCGGGGAGGTGCGGATGAGGGACGTCCCCATGGCGACGGAGTTCGGCCCCGCCGCGCCCGTTGGTGGGGCTGGATCGGGGTCTGGTGGGACGGGCGCCGCAGCGGAGGTGGCTGCGGCGGATTCCGGCTATGGTAGCGAGCCGGGATACCGGGGAGATGTGGAGCTTGGGTACGGGGATGAGATCGACGAGGAGGAAGAGGACGGAAGGCAGCAGCTGTTCTTCTGGGGCGAGGAAATCGGAGGTGATTGGCGTCCCTGAGCCCAATTCTTGGGACAATCTCTGATTTAGCTCACGCTTTCCTTTTCATGTATAGAGATTGACATCGTTTTCATCGTTACTGTGTGCATTTATTTGATATGATTCCGTAGATATAATATGCTTAGTTTGTAAAATCCATGGGTTGGGATCCTAGCTTGTTGGCTAGAGTTCTTGGTTTGGATTGAACAATTTGTTGATTTTTTACATAACTATGTTCTAGGATATCGGATGCTTGATCAATGTATATTCTACCTGTGGATTCTGATCAAAGGGATGTACTCATTTTCTAGTTTCTCCTTTTTTTTGGGCTGTGGGATGGGAAGATGATGGAAATGCACTTGCCTGCTGCATGTTTTGAGTAATGGAATGACTGGTGGAAAGCACACGTATTCATTTAGTGCTCTATCCAGTATTGATTTAATGGAATTGATAATAAGCTTAATAAATGATTATGTGCTCGAAATTCTGACGAAATTTTATTTTAGCCACCATGCATTTTAGTTATATTTGTCTCGTCCAAAACTAAATGATTGCTTAAAGCATTGACTATGTCAATGTGTTCAGGAAGGTAATATTTCGATTAAATTCTAGATAAATTTAACTTGACCTTGTTTGAAACATGTGTGCTGACCAAATGTCTGTTCTACTGTAATCCTGTACCCCTGTCATTTGTGCTACACTGCTATCATGATGAGTGAAACAATAAGAACTGATGGCAGAAGCTTTTATTTTTATGATGTCCTTTTGAAGTTATGTTATTAGTAATTGTTAGCCATGCCTGTCAATTTCTGAAGCTGTCAGATCTGACTGTTGTAACTTATAAATACTAGCCACAGTTTCTTTATTTTATAGAAATGTTTTGTTATGTTTGACATTGGAATTGTCTTTTGCCCTTGTCTTGGATTTGGTACAATTGTTTGTTCCTGCAACAGAGAGGCGATGTAATTTGCAAAGTACCTTTTGGTATCCACCTAACAAACGCTCTAATTACTGCCGAATTTTTACAATGCAGATTGTATAGCAGATATGAATAAGATGGGGATTGTTGGTGACAATAATTTTGGGGAGCAGAAGAGCCATCACCGTTGTAGGCGCAAGAAGCATGATGTGAGGATGCTGGATCCTTGAGGCAAAAACTTGAAACTTTTTGGTAAAATATGAAATATCTACATGACCTATATATACCACCGCAGTTCTGAGGAATCAATTTCCTTGCTTCTTTTGTGCAGCTTGTGCTGATGTGTGGTCAAACTAATTACTGATGTATCAATGTATGTATAGTTGATTTGTTGTTCCGGGGCAATCAGTAGTTGTGTGAGCATGTTTTCGAGAATTCTGTATGTGCATGTATGATCTATGCTGTGCCAGCAGTTGAATTTCCTGGTATCACTTGCTGCTATTTGACTGCTGAACTACTGATTCGTTCGTTAGGGCGTTCGATTGGGCACAAGTTATGCTTAAAATTGATAATGGTGTATTTTGGCATGTACTTGCTTGTGCCGCATGATAAACTTTGTTTTGCTCCTGATACATGCGTAAGCAGTGAGCTAAGCATGCAAAAGTGAACTTGGAGTTAGGAGTGGCTGCATACATATGCACCATGCGATGATGTATTCGGTATGACTTGGGGTATTCTGGTAGAACCTTGTCACATTCTAGTGCATTTCTTAACTAAATTATTTATCGAGTCATAATCTATTACATCTTACGAGCTAATGGACAAATCTTTATTAATTTTCCCTCCAGTACATACACATATTGTCACTTGTAATCTAGTTCAGATGCTAGATGCTTATTCGATTCATACTAGGACACATGTACATGTTACTCATCTTATATTGATCTACATGAATTGTGGCTCCACATGTTAACATAAGATTGCTACAATATCATTTGATTTAGGCATTTAGCTAGTAGTAGTAGCCTATATAACAATGCAAACAAACCAGGAAAAACTGAAAGAGTGAAACTTAGAACATCTGTAGCAGCTCCTCTATATAACACATGCCACTTGCACAAGGAGAGAGAAAAAGGGCTCCAATAGATACACCATCATCCCCTTCAAATTTAGCGCATCCGCTATGCCGGAAACAAAAACGTCAAATTTGGCGTTTCTCTCTCCTCACGCCATCTAGCAACTGGTCATCTCCGGATCGAACTCGCGCCACCATTTGGATCACGTCGTTGTGCCAGGGGTAGATGTGGAGTAATGGAGGTACAGAGGAGAGACACGCCTACTGGATCTAGCGGCGGAGGCTCGGAGTAGAAGCGGAGAGCTAACGGATCACTAGAGAGGTTACCGGAGTAGAAGCGGCATTGTCCCTCTGGTGCTATGCTGATCACCAAAGCGCGCCACTTCACCGCCCCGAGCCACGTCACCCCTCTGCTGCTCCTCCACGCCCCTCCCCTCCTCTGCTGCTCCTCCACCTCCACTCGCAACCATGCCGCTCCTCTACTACACCTTCAGCCGACGGCTTTTCTGCTAGTGCTGACCATGTTCGAGGAACACTGCTCCCCCACCCCCATGCGCTGCTGCCCAAAGCTACAAAGCAACGAATGCATCACATGGCGCATTGTGCGTGTAGGGGTGGGGGGGATGAGTTATCTGTTCCCCTTTGGGAGTGATGACTTATCTGTTCGATTATGTTTTTTTCTCTTCACAACATACTATCACCGGATGTATGTGAAGCATGGAGATCTGCATCAAGTAACAATGATGGAAATATAGATGTTAAAAAATAAATATTACAAAGTAATACAAATGGATAGGTAGCTGTAAGATATTACTAAAATATAGGATTGTATAATATAGATAATGTAATATGAATGATCTATTGAAGTGCAAAGTGATATAGAGTAGAAATCTTTTTTGAATGGAGGATCAAATTTGTATGAGCTGCTGACAATGCTGTTAAGGCTGATAATCTACCCACAAAAGCACCAAAACAATTGTTAGAGTTTGTGTCGAATATGTGTACGTAGTCAGTTACAGTTTAGGACTTGGAGTTATAATAGGTATTAGGACTAGAGTATGAGACGGACTCTATCCTAGGTTCTCTCATAAATAGAGGGGCGTGCCTGTTGTAACCACATGGCGACTTAGCATAGCGAGAGGGAGCGGCTGCCGGCGTCGACCGGCCGTGAGTCGTTGTAACTCTGATACGCTGTATATGCTAGATCGGGGAGGAGCGCCCGTAATCAGTGCCCCGGAGATGTAGGCTACGGCTGAACTCCGTTACCAAATATCGTGTCTCGGTGTCGTCATCGTTTTGGATTTCCTATGGCGTTTTCTTCCGCGTTTAGCTACTGATGTCGATTTCGGGGCTGGTTTTATAACAAGTGGTATCAGAGCCTGTAGAAGGTCTATGGTAGAGGCGCGACCGAGGTGCTCCACACCGCGTAGCCTGCTGTAATGCCCAGGGAGGGGCATTGGCACAAGGTGGAGCACGGCGGCGATCAACGGAGTCTTGATCGGTGGATCGAACACTTCTGGCGGCGGCCGAAACCGTCGATGGCTGCTTTCAACAGGGAGATGACTAGACGTGGTGCTCGGGTTGATGGTGGCGGAAGCGATTGGCGATCCAATCGGCGGGTCGGACACTTCGGGCAGGTGGCCCGGACTTTCCGGTGAGCTACTCTCGACAGGGAGACGTGCGGCCGCATGCTCGGGTTGATTGAAGTTGGAGGCGATCGGCGTTCTCGATCGGTGGATTCGAACACTTTGGGCGGGGTGGCCCGGGCCTTTCGATGAGTTGCGTTCGACAGGGAGATGGCTAGACATAGCACTCGGGTCGTTCGGCGGCTGAGAAGACGGCATGCGACTTGTCGGCTTCGGCTCGCGACTAGATCGATGGCGATCAATCGGAAGTCGGAGCGGGTGGATCCCATAGGCTGTTTGGAGGTGTTGACGAGGTATTTGCACGATGGAATTGTTTCAAAGGCGGCGTATTTTGTGGCATATGGCTGAACAAAGCCTAGGGCGAATAGACCGGCATCCAGTAGCGGTTCAACCCTGGAGAGGCTTTGGTTCAACCTGTTTTTCCCTCTAGCAGACAAGAAGAAAACCACACGGGCTGTAGATCAATGACAACAGTTGTTGGTGGAGTCGTCAGTGGTGCTTGGCGTTGGTGCTAGATGTTGTCAGAGATACGAAGAAGCCCAGGAGGTCAGGGTCGTGACGGTGTGCGCGTCCTGCGTCGAAGCCGAGCCGGTGACGGAGATCAGGGCGATGCCGAGAAGGAGCTGGCTAGGGTTTAGCTATGTCGTGCAGGGTTCGGTCTTGAGGGTTTGTGGTGTGGAAGACACGGACATGGAGTCGTCTCCGGTTCGGTCATGGCACGGACACAATCGAAGACAAACAGTGGATACCAAGTTTCAACACGAAAGGGAATCGGACGAGGACTTCGATTCGTTCAGGAATCGGACTCAATTTTTCCCAGATAAAAGCAACAGAGGACCACGGGATTGCAACAACGCAATCGAAACAAATCACCTAGCAGAGGGCGAGATTCGTACCTGATTTTCACAGAGGCGGAGGTGGTTTGGGTGGCGAGGTCACGGGCGGCTGGAGGCGCATCCTTGTAGGCGGTGTGCGGCGGCGTGGAGCTCGGCACGGCATTCGTCGGGGTTCGCAGGAGCTTGCGGCGGCGGATGCGATAGTTCCCGGCGAGGAACCGACGCCTGACTTCGGCGGCGGCGGCTCCCAGTGCGTAAGGCGGCGTTTCCCTGCTGGGCCGGCGGCGCAAGGCAGCGGCGGTGCAGGCGCGATACGGCGGCGAGAGGCGGCGACGCATCTGGAGGACGCGGGTGCAGAGAGGAGGGAAGGAAGCCGAAGGAAAAAGGGGATCGGCTCGATCTGAGCCGGTCTTTGACCGCTGTTGACTGGCTTTTTGACTAGAAAAGAAAACCGATCGGGTTGGTTTTGTCCGGCTAGTGACTGTAGTCGGTGGGTCAATTAATCAGGGCAGATCAATTTAACAGGGCAACCGCTGTTGAGTTGATTATCGTCGATGGCGGCGACGGTGGTTTCCAAATTTGAGGTGGTGAAGTTCGATGGCACCGGGAATTTCGTTCTCTGGCAGATGAGGCTGAAGGATCTGTTGGCTCAGCAGGGGATATCCAAGGTTCTTGATGAGACGATGCCGGAAATGATGGATGCTGATAAGTGGGATGAGATGAAGGCGCAGGTAGCTGCAACAATACGCTTGAGTCTCTCAGATTCCGTCATGTACCAGGTCATGGATGAAAAATCACCGAAGGAAATTTGGGACAAGTTGGCAAGCCTGTATATGTCCAAGTCGCTGACGAGTAAGTTGTATCTCAAACAACAACTGTATGGTTTGCAGATGCAAGAGGAGTCAGATCTTAGGAAGCATGTGGATGTCTTCAATCAGTTTGTTGTGGATCTAAGTAAGTTAGATGTGAAATTGGATGATGAAGACAAGGCCATAATTCTTCTGTGCTCGCTTCCACCGTCTTATGAACATGTGGTGACTACCCTGACGCACGGCAAGGATACTGTCAAAACTGAGGAGATAATTTCGTCGTTGCTTGCACGAGACTTGAGAAGATCAAAGAAAAACGAGGCAACAGAGGCTTCTCAGGGTGAGAGTTTGCTGGTCAAAGCGAAGCATGATCATGAAACAGGGGTGTCGAAGAGCAAGGAGAAGGGGGCACGGTGCTATAAGTGTCATGAGTTTGGACATATAAGGAGGAATTGCCCGTTACTGAAGAAGAGGAAAGGTGGCATTGCAAGTTTAGCAGCTCGTGGTGATGATTCAGATAGCAGCAGTCATGAGATTCTCACAGTGTCTGACGAGAAGTCTGGAGAAGCGTGGATGTTGGACTCAGCTAGTTCCTATCATGTGACATCGAAGCGGGAGTGGTTCTCTTCATATAAATCTGGTGATTTTGGTGTTGTTTACTTGGGCGATGACACGAGTTATTGTGTTGTTGGAGTGGGCGATGTCAAGTTCAAGATGTATGATGGAAACGAGATGCTACTTTCAGATGTGAGACACGTGCCGGGACTAAGGAAGAGTTTGATTTCGCTTGGGAGCCTACATGAGACGGGTTGGTTGTATCAGGTGGATTCTGATAGGAAGACCATGAATATCATGAAGGACGGCAAGACTGTTATGACTGGTGAGAGGACAAGCTCATGTTTGTACAAGTTACAAGGGAGTGCTGTTGCAGGTGGAGTCATGGAAAATGGGTATGCTGGTGTTGCTGTGCACGATCCTGAAGGCGGCGAGCCTGGCATAGGCTCATCGGGCGGCTCGGCGTGAGCTGCGGCAGAATCAACTCAAGTCCTGGTACACGGAGGTTCGAGCAAGTAACAGATTCAAGTTGGCGTGGCATATTCGCCAAGGTGGAGTTTGTTAGAGTTTGTGTCGAATATGTGTATGTAGTCAGTTACAGTTTAGGACTTGGAGTTATAATAGGTATTAGGACTAGAGTATGAGTTGGACTCTATCCTAGGTTCTCTCATAAATAGAGGGGCGTGCTTGTTGTAACCGTATGGCGACTTAGCATAGCGAGAGGGAGCGGCTGCCGGCGTCGACCGGCTGTGAGTCGTTGTAACTCTGATACGCTGTATATGCTGGATCGGGGAGGAGCGCCCGTAATCAGTGCCCCGGAGATGTAGGCTACGGCTGAACTCCGTTACCAAATATCGTGTCTCGGTGTCGTCATCGTTTTGGATCTCCTATGACGTTTTCTTCCGCGTTTAGCTACCGATGTCGATTTCGGGGCTAGTTTTTATAACAACAACCTTGGTAGCGCACTACCTTCTGACATGGTGCTCTTGCCGATTTCCTTTTTCCTTCTTGGCACAAGAGAAAACATCTTGCAATTTGTGGATGGTCAGGTATGCAAAGTATGGGAGTTTGTTTTTTGAACTCACTAGTCACTACTCCAAGGTTCCATAATTCTTATTCCCCCCGTTTCAGATTGTAATACTTTTTAGCATTGCTCATATTCATTTAGAAGTTAATGAATCTAGACACATATATATACCTAGATTTATTAACATCTATATGAATGTGGGCAATGTTAGAAAGTCTTACATTGTGAAACGGAGGAAGTAGCATTTTGGACAATTACAAGGTCTCCAAAAAACTATAATTGAGTAAATATTTATTATTATTAAATTACCTTTCAAGACTAATCTGTACCTCGTGTTATGTTCTAGTGTCTTCAGAGTAAATAGTCTAAGTTCAAATAATAATCTTATATAAAACGGTAAGAATTTTAGAATGGGAGGAAGAAGATTTCATTCTCCATTAGTATTCGCTAACCGGTGCATGGCCTGATCTGATAGCCGCCGACGGGTTAAAGAAATAGCCGGCTTCATTTGTTTTCCATATATATGAAAGCTGCTTGAAGTTTCGCCTATATGCTTGCTTACACCAACCTAGGGGTGAAAACGGTACGGAAATTTCCGAGAATTCCGGCTACCGTTTTCGGTTTGCACCGACCGTTTCAATCGGTATCGGTAATTGTCGGTATCGGAAATGGAAACGGTAATCTTTTTCGGAAATGGTAGCGGAAATGATATGGGGTTTTTTCCGACCGTTTTGTCGGTAACCGTTTTTTATCGGTAATTTCCGTCAAATTTCCGACAAAATTCCGAAGAAGGAAGTCGGCTGGGCCTGGCTAGCAGGAGGAGGAGCCCATTAGGCATTAAGGAGCAGCCCATTCCGAATAAAGAAGCCAACTAGGCCTGACCGCATCGTCGTCTTCATCGGCGCTGGGGCACCGCCGCGCCGTGTTGGGCGCCGCCACCAGGTCGCCGACGCCGGCCGCAACCTCCTTCGCCCCGACGGCCTCCGTCGCAGCCGGCCACCTTTCCCTCCCCCATGCTCCACCGCCGGCTTCCGTGCCACCGAGCCAAGCGCCGAGCGCCGCCGCACCGCCCCAGCCTCCTCCTCCCCACCGATGCCGCCCCTTTCTCCTCTCTCCTTCCCCCACCGCCGCCCTGCGCCAGGCCGCCATCTCCGGCGCCTCTCTCCTCTCGGGCGCGCGTGAAGGAGCCAAAGGCAGAGAAGAGAACAAGAGAGAAAACAGAGAAGAAATCGAGAGAGCAGGAAAAGGAACCGAGAGAAGGGAAGGATAAGAGAGAGAGAAAATAAAAGAAAGAGAGGAAAAGAAAGGCTGTGGGATCCACCGGCGGGCCCCACCATCTTGACTCCTCTCTGTGATCGACCTGGAAATACCAAAAAGTCTAGTTTAGCATGAAACTTAATTACAACGGTAGTTATACAGTGTCAACATAAAAGTTCTTATGCAATGTGGCACTGTAGGACGACGATATAGCTATGTCAATTGATGATGAAATAATGAATGATATTTGACAAGGAGCTGATCAGCTGAAGCCATGCCAGCTTGTAAGCTTGGTGTTCTCGAAGACTTCAAATCTATATCCTAAAAAAAGTCGGACAATATTAGTTATGCTATAATCCTATCATGTAAGCCACATTGTATGCTTTAGCCACATTGATGTTGAAGTATCATTGAACTTTATTTATATTATTTGTCAATCTTATTGTCAACTTATTAATCATCATATAACGGTGTTGTGTGGCAGCATAATGATGCAAAGGTGAAATTATAAGGTTATCTTCATACATAGTTAAATGCGGGATGATACCACAGTTCGCTGTTTCCGACATGAATTTTCGACTTCCGTCCGATATCGGTATATTCTCGTTCCGACGGTTCCGTTTCCGAGATACCGATATAACCGATATCCTTACCGTTTCCGAGTATACGTTCCGATTCCATTTTCGAGAAAATAAAATGAAAATGGAAATGGTAGAGGGTTTTTCCGACCGTTTCCGACCGTTTTCATCCCTACACCAACCCAATCCTTTGCGTTTTCGAATTTTTACGATTTTCTGCGATGACTTGGCACGAGTTTAAAAAATAAAATTAAAGTGAATTCCAATGAAACAATTTTATAAGAGCACAAGTTGCAAATTACTACTACTAGTTCGCCAGTCACAAGCTCGCCTCTATAATAGACTGTGCTGGTGTGATGTGATGTTCACTGTGGCTGGCTACTCACTCCATCCTGCACATCGAGTAGTGTTCGACCGCGCCATGGCCGCAGCCGCAGCCGCAGCGTCCGATGATGCCGCCGCCGCCGGCGGCCGGTTCGACTTCGACGTCATCGTGGTGGGCGCGGGCATCATGGGCAGCTGCGCGGCGCACGCGGCGGCGTCCCGCGGCGCGCGCGCCCTGCTCCTGGAGCGCTTCGACCTGCTCCACCACCTCGGCTCCTCGCACGGCGCGTCGCGCACCATCCGCGACGCCTACGCCAAGGCGCACTACCCGCCCATGGTGCGCCTCGCCCGCCGCCTCTGGGCCGACGCCGAGGCCGAGTCCGGCTACCGCGTGCTCACCCCGGCGCCGCAGCTCACCGTGGGCCCGCCCGGCGATGCCTCGCTGCTCGCCGCCGTCGGGAACTCCGGCGCGCGCCGGGTGGACGAGGACGACCTCGCCGGGAGGTGGGGCGGCGCGTTCCGCGGCGTCCCGGACGGGTGGGTGGCTGCCGTCAGCGAGCTCGGCGGCGGCGTGCTGAACGCGACCAAGGCGGTGGCCATGTTCCAGGCGCTCGCCGTCAAGGGGGGCGCCGTCGTCAGGGACAACGCGGAGGTCGTCGGCGTCGTCAAGAAGGACGGTGAGGCCGGAGTCTTCGTGAGGACGAGCGGCGGCGAGGAGTTCCACGGCGCCAAGTGCGTCGTGACGGTGGGCGCCTGGACGAGCAAGCTGGTCAAGTCCGTCGCCGGCGTGGACCTCCCCATCCAGCCGCTGCACGCGCTCGTCCTGTACTGGAAGGTCAAGCCCGGCCGCGAGCGCGAGCTCGCGGCGGAGGCCGGCTTCCCGACGTTCTCCAGCCACGGCGACCCGCACGTGTACGGCACGCCGTCGCTGGAGCTCCCGGGCCTGATCAAGATCAACTACGACGGCGGCCCGCCGTGCGACCCGGACGGCCGGGACTGGGCCGGCGGCGGCGGCGACGCGGCCTCCCGCGTCGCCCGGTGGATCGAGGAGTTCATGCCGGACCACGTCGAGGCCGCCGGCGGGCCGGTCGTCCGGCAGCCGTGCATGTACTCCATGACGCCGGACAAGGACTTCGTGATCGACTTCCTCGGCGGCGAGTTCGGCGACGACGTGGTGGTCGGGGCCGGGTTCTCCGGCCACGGGTTCAAGATGGGGCCGGCGGTGGGGAGGATCTTGGCCGAGATGGCCATGGACGGGGAGGCGAGGACGGCGGCGGAGGCCGGGGTGGAGCTCCGGCACTTCAGGATCAGCCGGTTTGAGGGCAACGCCATGGGAAACTAGCTTCAATTCAATGATTGTTGCGATGAAATATGATGTATTATTGTATCATGCATGTGATTATTGTTGGAGTAGTTGTTGGATTATCCTTTGTAATCTTCTTCAAGCTGATCAAGACTTCCTCTTCAAGCTGATCAAATCTTCTTCAAGTTGCTACTAGCTTGTGCTTTCAACTGTAACAATTTTTAGTTTGTAAAACTAAACTTTATATATTTGCTATGGATATGGTTGATTTGACATCTGACCTGTCTAAGGCGATCCCCTCAATCTGATGTTGTATTGGAATTTAATCCACTTAATTAATTTGAATCTTAGTCTAAACATGATCACCTCTGCTTAATTATGCGTGTTGGAGGTATACCACGAGGACCTTCGACCGTGCCTACCGAAACCAGGAATCTAGGCGAGGACTCAGGCCGGAGGCACGCTCGAAGGCTGAGAAGGCGTGACTACATCCCATGAAGAGACAACATGGGTGGAAACCGTATGGCGAAAGCCGTGGTATGAAGCACGTGGGCTTCGCCAAGGATGGACCTTGTCGGAGGGCTATACGGGCAAGGACTGCAGGGTGGAAGCCGTGCCGCGAAGGACACGGGTTTCGCCAAGAGCCGGACCTCACTTGAAAAGGGCCCAACGGGCCATCATGCCCTCTGGGGGCTTCACCAATAACTGGGCCGAGTCACCCAGCCCATTAGGGGCCCATGCAAGTAAAGGACGCAATATACCCCCAATAATGTCCCTATTATAAGGGTAACCATGCAAATTCTCTTGTAAAACCTAAACCCTAAAGGAGTCCGTAATAGGGCTATAAATAGCCCCATAGGGCCATGTAACATGGGATCCCTGAAATTTTTTACTAAGCAATACAATTGTTATCGTTTCCAACCATTGTTGAGAGAACCATGTCTTTCGACGTGACGCAGTTGTCGTTCGACAACAATGTGGAATTGATCTAACTGACCTGAGATGAAGCCATCAAAGCTGATATTTGGTTTTCGCTTTTCCTTCTTCTCTTCTCCATTTCTTCTATTGTGAGATACCTCATGAACCCCTTCCAGTGCCTAAATTGATCGAGCGATTTTCTTAGAGTTTTAGGGTTAGAAAGAGAGTTCGGCATAGCATCTGCCTCTTCTCCTTTTTCTCATATATAGTGACACTTGTGGGGCTCGGGGGCTTATCTTCAATTAAAATTCGAATCTATTTTGTACCGATCACACAAAATATATTTTATCTCTTCTTTGGTTTCTAGTTAGGATAGGAAAAACGGTGGGATTTTATTCTTGTCCTAACTAACCGGCATTAGACAATAAAATCAACCAACAATGTTGTTCATCTTGGTCATGAAGGGTCAATGCCCTCATTGGTAGGACTAGTGAGCTCGGCATCTTCCGCTTGACGTGAGTGCTGTCAAACACAGAGCTTCGTTCTATGCGATGACCTCGCCCTCTTCCTTTCACCGATGGCCCAGGATTTGGAGGTGATCAAGGAGATTCTCTCCTGCTTTGGGGTAGTTCCGAGGCTGCTTACTAACCTCGACAAGTGCTCCATCACTCCAATCAGGTGATCAGAGGATGATATGGCAGTACTCTCTCACATCATGCTATGTGTGGTCACGGAGCTCCCATGCAAATACCTAGGTATCCCCCCCTCTCTGTCACGCAGCCTCTGAAGAGTAGCCTACAACAACTTGTGGACTCAGTACATAATCAGTTGCCTGCCTGGAAGGGGAGGCTCTTGGCTATGTCGGGAAGGCTAACCTTGGTGCAATCCGTCCCCTCCACCCCGGCACACATCTCCCTTGCCATTGGGTTGCTAGATTGGGTCTTGAAAGTCGTTGACAAATAGTGGCCAACCTTCCTTTGGAAGGAGTCAGACTCGGTCCATGGCGGGAGTTGCCTTGTCGCTTGGCCCAACGTGTGTCGGCCCAAAGAGCTGGGGAGGGGGGGGTGTTAGGAATCACAGACCTCTGGATCATTGGCTGGACCCTACGGATGCGATGGCCCTAGCTCCAACACATTAGCGACCCCTACTAGGCCGGCTTCAAACTACCGTAAGAGTAGTGTATGTCGGAGATGCTACGTGTGTCTGCCATGGTCGTCATTGGAGATGGATGCCGCTCATTGTTCTAGTTGGACAACTGGCTCGATGGGCGATCGGTTCAACTAATCGCCCTATAGTTGTTCCTTGTTGTCCCAACTCGTCACCGAAATTCCACTTCGGTGGTTGTTGGCCTGGCTAGCAGTACTTGGATATCTAACATCATTGGTGCACTGACTGTGCATGTACTCTCCCTATTCCTCACACTCTGGGATAGAGTATAGAATTTCTCACTACAAGAGTTTGTCCAAGATGATTTCATTTGGCGCTGGATGGGTGGTAGGTATAGCGCCGCCTTGAACTACAATGCGTTCTTTAAGGGCTCGATCTTCTTTTCTTGCTCTGAGTTACTTTGACGCAGCATTGGTCCCGTGAAGGGCAAACTTTTCCTCTGGCTTACACTTCAACGGTTGTGTTAGACGACTAACCAAATACGCATCTGCAAGATGGATAGTCATACCATGTGCCCTATGTGTAAATGCGTAGGAGCTGGAAGCGGATCACCATATCTTGGTGGAGTGCGTATTCGCTTGAACAAGTTGGGCACAAGTTGCTATCCAAGATTGGGTTGGCCTTCCTCTCACCATGCCACTCATTGACCAAAACGGTACATACTAAGCTAAGCTGCTGCATCAAAATACTAGGTTGACGGTTTATTCTACTAGGACGTACCCACTTATCAAATTGTTATCCTTAGACGTCCAATTCTCAAATTCTTGTATTAATTTGCAACCACATGCCAAGTTATGATACTTTGAATGCAATTTACTCATCTTTTATTTTGAGTTGAAAGTTTTAAATTTTAGATTTTTTTTTAATTTTTGGTTGAAAGCTTTAAATTTGAGTTAAAAGTTTTAAAAATTAAATTGACAGCTTTGAAATTGAGCTGAAAGTTTTGAAATTAATTTGGAAGTTCTAGAATTTGATTGTTTTTTTAATTTTTAGTTCAAAATTATGAAATTTTGACTCGTTATATATTTGTCAATAAATTTTCTGCTAAAAATTTGGCAGATGTAACTAAAGTACATACAATCATAGTGTAATTATGCTGTAACTTGCCTACAATGTAACTTTGTATGTAACTTTTAAATAATTTTTATTCGTTAGATCTGTTTCAAGTTTTGTGCAAGTGAAGAAGAAAACAGCTACAGCGCGGACACATGTGAGATGCTTCATTCCCATGACCTTCATTTCACAGAAATAGCATGTTACGGAGAGATTTTTGAAAGTTATATACAAGTTACATGTAAGTTACAGCGTAATTACATTACAATTATACTATAATTACATCTGTCAATTTTTTTTTAAAAAATTTATTGACAAATATTTTTTTTTAAAAAATTTAGTGACAAATATATAGGTGATCCCACTGAAAGTTTACTTTTAAAAGAAAAAACGATTGACACTTAGGACCAATGCTAGCGAAGAAAAAACCACAAGGAAAATCTGTGAGCTGCCGATGGAACGTCCCGCGGCGGGATTCCCAAATTAGCGCAGGAAGACACATGTCGTGGGCCTTGGCGGGCTGAAAACATGCGTCTGTGAATGAAATTGCTCCAAATAGCCATACAATGTATTATACTAGGGAAATTTGCAAAACCATCCCATAAGTCACTTAAAATTTGACATTTCACCTCATAAGTCATTTTGTTGCAAATACCCACCCACCTAATTAGTTTTATTGCACAAATCACTCTTGTGCGCACATGCTTAACCATATTAACATGTTCTCATAAATTATAAGGTATCAGTGTGGTCCTTACCAAAATAACAAAATTAAATACATATAGAGAATGGCCTTAACACTTCTTTGAAGATAATTTCTAATGAGAGCTTAAACATTATCGTACTGAGTTTCTCTATATCACAAAAAAGTTCAATGAAACATGAAAAATAAGTATAATATAAGAACTTGGACAAGATTATATTGACTTAGCTAGCTTATCCTGTGATGGCTATACATCAACGATAATAGACTGATTCGGTTAAGCACGTGCGCCCTAGGATGGTTGTCTCATCAAAACCGAGTATGAGGTAGGCATTTGCAACAAAATGACTTATGGGATGAAATATCAAGCTTCAAGTGACTCATGGGATAGTTTTTGCAATTTTCCCATCAAATTAAGGTGAATTAGGAGGTGGGGATTTTCAACAAATCTTTTTATAGGGAGGACTCTCAAACTTAGGGTGACATTTAGGAGGGTTTACAACTTTTCCTTTATACTAATACTATTTGATTACGAAAAGAAGGAAAGTGATAATGTTTTTCTTATCTTCGGCCTAGGCTCATTTAGCGTTTTCTTGTTAGGCTTTTCACAGCCCGACCAAAAACCTAGCTGGGCCATATCATCTAACTGGGTGTGTTTAGTTTGTACTTGTCCAGCATAGATCTTTTAATCTTTTTTTTAATTATGGATTAAGAATGCGGCCCCTACATGTAGGGGTCCTAATGCGCGACTGGTCACACGGGGGTGTGGGCGTGCGACCAGTTCGTCTCTCCTACTACTAGTACTAGTACTACTAGTCTACTACTGTTATTACAAGCGCTGCTAATACTACTACTAGCGCTGCTGGCCTGCTGCTGCTGCTACTAGTGGGCCCCGTGCGCAGCTAGTACTACTAGTATTGCTGCTGCTGCTAGGTGGTGGTAGTAGTACTACTCTATATACTAATGGTACTACTACTAAGGCTCTGTTTCTTTTAGCTTGGGATTATTATAATCTAGATTATTTAGTCAGATTACTATAGATTGTTATAATCTACAGTAGAATAAGCGGTTAGTTGTTTCTTTCCTAGATTATTAGAGCCTAGATTATTAGGTTTGCAAGTCTAAAGAAGAGGTGGGGTGGCATGGTGGGTAATTTTTCATCCAATAATCTGGAAAAAGCTCACCTAAATGAGCTTATCAGATTATAATAAGCTGGGCTCCAGATTATAATAAGCTACTTCAATAAGTTGTCTGTTTCTTTCAGCTTACTTCTAATAATCTGGATTATAATAATCCCAAGCTGAAAGAAACAGAGCCTAATACTACTTACTAGTACTATTGTTATACTACAACACTACTTTTATATATATATGTATATATATATATGTATATATATATGTATATATATATATGTATGTATATATGTATATATAT